GGCACTCTAGCCCAGGCAACACAGTGAGACTCTGTCTCAAAAAAAAAAAAAAAAAAAGCTAATCTGCAAAGCCTACATATTGTATGATCCCAACAACATGACATTCTGGAAAAGGCAAAACTATAAAAAGATCAGTGATTGCCAGGGAATAGGGGTTGGGGGATGAACAGGCACAGCACAGAAGATTTTTAGGGCACTGAAAATACTATTTATGATAGTATAGTGATGGATATATACCATCATACATTTGTCCAAACCTATAAAATGTACAATACCAACAGCAAACCCTAATGTAAACTATGAAAGTGAGTGATTATGATGCATCATGTAGGCTCACCAATTGTAACAAATGTATCACTGACGGGGATGCTGATAATGGGAGTGTCTATGCACATGGTGGGGCAAGGGGTACATGGGACATCTCTGTAACTTCTCAATTTTGCTGTGAAACTAAAACTGCTCTAAAAAAATAAAATCTTAAAAAAAGAGAAGAAAAAAACCCAAACAGGGCAATAGGGCATCAATCATGTCAATCATGTCAATCACATCAAAATAGGGAAAATCAATAATTTTAGATATTATATTAAAGCAGCCCAAAATCTCTTTATTATTTTGGGCAATCTCACCAATAAGCAAATCCATCACATTACTAATGACTCTTGCCTGGTTACATTCAAGGACAATTGCTCTTTAATTCATATGTTACTGTTAAAAAATCTATTCCTTGTGTTCTTCACATCCAAGTACATATATTCTGGTTAAATTTCACTTCTTGTATCTGGCCGATGATCTTCCCTGTTGATAATTTCTGGATTTTTGGCTCATCATCTAAAATCATCCTCATTGTACTTCAGGTTTAATTCATTTGCAAAATTATTCAACATGCCACCATTACCCCCATACAAGTCATTAATAAAATGTTTAACAGGAGAGGAGAGACACTGAAACTTGTCCTCGATGATCTCTGTCCAACGTACAATCTGTGTTTTCGCCAGCCTTAGAATACAGTCAGTAAATTAGCTATAAAGCTGCTTATGTATATAATTAACTCAATTGCCATTTTTCCATATTATCCTCAACTACATCAGATTTCTTTAAATATCTTACGGATATATATCACACCTATTGCACCACTCTGCTATACAAGTCTAATAAACCTATCAAAGAAAGAAGCAATGAAAGAGAAGAAAAAGAAAAAGGTTAGTCTGTCATGATTTGTTCTTAGAGAAACCCATGCTGCCTTATAATGATCATTGCTTTTCTTAGTGCTCCCTCAAGAGGAATAAACACTGTAGTGTGAAGAATAGAATTTGACCCTAATTTAACTATAAAGACAATAATAGAGGAGTCTCATATAGTCAGGTGATGAAAATAACAATATTATTATAGCTCCTCATTTAATAATATAAAGGTAATATTTATTGTTCATATTTAAAATATTTCAAGTTGGCACCACTTTGGCCTGCAAAGATAAATTTCAGATTTACTTTGTTATTAAAATTTCTTTGTTGGGTTTCTCATTAAATCTCAGTTCATTAAGCACATGTTATTAATCTGAACATTCTAAATAAAAACATGATAGTTTTAGAGGAGTATTAACTGCTAGGCAGATCACATGTGAAGCCAAGTTGGCCTTATTCTCTACATCACATTGTTTCAGAGGTGGAAGGGACCTGGTATTTACATAACAATTGCCTCCTTTTATAGATGAGGACATTGAGGCTCTCAGGGACTGAATGAATTGAACAAGATCACAAACCTAACTTCTGGCATGTCTGACCATAGAAATTAGATCTACTCAGCTGCTATGGCTAATGTCTCGCAAAATCATAATGTAAAAAAAGTAATAAGAACCAAAAAAAATACTTTCTTACCAACTGGACTTCACCAAAAGCACCTCTTCCAATAACTTTTACAACATCATAGTCTTCTGCCTTCATCTGTAGACCTCTGATTTTTTTCACAATTTTCTCATCTACAGTGAAAAGGTCACCATATTTATTAATATCAATCATATTTCTAAGCAATGTTTTAAAATAATAATCACATTTGTAAACAAATTTTTATTTTAAGAAACTGGACTTCATTTTCAGCTAAATCTGTCAGTTTTTAAAGTCTACTGTTTAAAAATGTAAGATACAGGCCAGGGGCGGTGGCTCTCACAGCACTCTGGGAGGCCAAGGCGGGAGAACTGCTTGAGCTCAGGAGTTCAAGACCAGCCTGAGCAAGAGTGAGACCCATTTCTACTAAAAATTGAAAAATTAGATGGAAGTCCTGGTGTACACCTATAGTTCCAGCTATTCGGGAGGCTGAAGCAGGAGGATCGCTTAAACCCAGGAGTTTGAGGGTACAGTGAGCTACAATCATGCCACTGCACTCTACCCAGGGCAACAGGGTGAAACTCTGTCTCAAAAAAAAGGGAAACTGAACCTCCCTCCTCACTCCACCCCCCATTAAGAAAAAAGAAATCTAAAATACGCATTAACCTTATATCAAAGAACTAAAACTCTCTATAACCAGTTTATTAACACATATAAAGGAACACTACTGACTAGCAAAAAGTAGCAGTTAAAGCTATTCTGTTTCTGACTCTGTTGCTTGGCAAGTTAGATGACAGCTGACACAGTGATGACCCAAGCAATCCTGGTGTGCATTTTGAATCATGGCAGAAAGTTGCCATGAAATTCCCTGCAAGGCTAATCTTAGTGATGAATTTTGATAGCCTACTTCTCTGAAAAGTGGTAATTATATATTGTATATATAGTAACTACAGACAAGATAGTTTAATTGGGAAAACACTCCAGTCTCTGGCAATTTCAAATTAAAGAGCTTACTGTGGTGACACGAATTGTTTTGAGAATTTCTTAGTCTTAGAATTCAATTTCATTTACTTCTTCACCTGAACATCAATAATGGCAAATATTAAGGGTTACCACCCATACGGTAACAATTGTTATCACATTATTTTTCATTAACTAGACTGAAATGTCCACATTTACAGAAACATAAATAATAACCTGTCCTAAAATAGTAAAT